TCGGTAGCCTGTCCTTTAATTGTTGCCAAAAGCTTTGACACTGAGTGAATGACTGCCTCACAGTCTCCCTGAGGCTTATGATGGACTGACTCTCCCTAGTCATAGTCCAGTACTATAACCAGTGCCCCACTTTGGGTCTTAATCTGGGATACAGTAATATTATTCCCAACTAATCCAGTCAAGGCTGATAAAATTCTAATCTCAACATCGGGAGTACATCTGATTGAAAGAAACCGTATACTTGAGTAAATGGCTCATATGTATTCAATACAGCTTAATTCTGGGTGCGTCTAGATGAAAATACTGTAAAATGTAGGATATACCGTACTTGTATTTTTTTTTGTTTCACAACTATTGAGTATTTTCCATCATTTGTAAGATAGTTTGACATACCTACCCACACAGTTGTTATTGTAAGAAAGGATTTTGTCCCATCTGCATAGTTTTAGCTGAACTTTTGCTAGCCTATTCCTATTCATCCTATTTCTTCCCCCATAATCTGACACACAGTTTGAATCTCCCCAATTAAAGTAATGGGGCAACTGCTAAAGTGTAATTGTTGTCCTGAGTAGATGAAAACAGAATAGAAGAACAGTGCAAAATAATTATATAAATGGGTGTAAAGCATCCATCATTGTGTAAACTTCCTTGACCCTGAGGGCCACACACTTCCTATGGTATATTAAGTTGGCTGCTTACTAAAGACCTGGCTTTTGAAAATCTAATGAACTCTTAGATGGTAGCAAAGAGATGGGGGTGGGGGAATCAAATTTTGGTTGCCAGTTAGTGGCTGTCTGGATTATAGTTACCCTGAACTGGTAGCTATGCTCTCCAGGGCTGCATTCTAAAAGAGGATGGCGCAATAGTTATTTTATTTGAGAGTTCAGGGACTTTTAAGGTGAAAAATAAATATATTTGGCATTTGCAAATACCCATTTTGTTCCAGAAGGTGTGCTCCTCCTATTCTAGAGAAACACTGGAGGCTGCAGAAGTTACGCTGGGGCACAAAGTCCATATGTTTACATAAAACTACTCTTGAAAATATTGCTTTTACTAGCAGTATGGGAGAGGTTATCTTCCTATACTGTATTTGGGAAGCAAGGGAGGGGGGTGCAAATTTATTTCCTGGAGTCATGAGTGTCTGTAAGCCCTTAATTGCCAGGTATATTCTGGTTAAGGATATTTTAATTAAAGTCCTAAATGAAACATAAAATTTCATCAATGATTCAAGAAGCTTTATATATGAAATCACTCAGGTGTATTAACTGTGCAATTGTTTATAATTATGTGCATATTTGTGCATAATGCAACAGACATTCTTAGCAATGTTTTGCCGTTAATGTGTATTATATGTTCAAAGGCCATCATATACATTAACTAGGATAAGCGTATGCCTTGCATTATAAACTAATGTAGTCATCCCCGTGTGTAATATAGGATCCAGTTGATTTACTGAGCCAAAAAAATTATATTACACTCCATAATTCAGATGATGCCTAATAGCAAAAACTGTACCAAAGGTGCTTTTTCAAAAGGCAACTGGTTTGGTCTTTGTTTTTTCTTGAAGACATTTCACTTCTAATCCAAGAAGTTTTCCTTCTTCAAGGAAAAACAAAGTCCAGTTCCCTTTTGAAAAAGCACCTTTAGGGCAACCATGACCTGGATGACTTAGAATCTCCATAGACATTTAGCAAAAACTGTACTTTTCATTTAAATTATGCTTAAATTGGCCACATTAGGAGAAATGGATCTTATCCACAGAAGAACAAGAATGACGAATGAAAGGCAAATCAGAAAATAGATCCAAGGAATGTTCGGAATTTTGAAAGTGAGCTTTCTTGTTTGCGATATGGGATAAAGTTGAAAATGGAACACTTGCTTTTCTCTGTGACTGTCAAGCTGTTTAAACTGTCAGTGGTTCCAGGAAAAATTATGGTACCTCTTCAAAGTTGAAAGATTTCGTTAAAAAGCAATCTATCCCTATTTGTCCAACCAAACATTTCAGAAATAACAACGGTTAGAAAGTTCATCCCGGACTTGAAATCTTTCACGCTCATTGGATGGATAGGGGCAAGGTTTTTTTGTTCCTAAGTCACACTTCTGACTGGATATATTGGACACAGTTTTCATAACTCCTCATCTGTCTGGGGATTAATGACTGTATATTTGTTTGGAGAAGTTACTTCAAAATACCGTTTACCTTTTGTTTTTAAGATGGTACGGAGACCAGGTGTTTTGCAGAGTGGCTGCCAATAGTAACTAGTTTTAGCATGTTGCAGCAGGTTGATGGATTGGACTAGAACCAGCTTGAAAAGTTGGACTGAGATATGGTGGAGTTTCCATGGATTTGGGTTCATCTATCGAGCCCAAATTACTTCCTGTTGAGCCCGCACAACTCGTTTTTCTTATAGGCTGTGTTGCAGCTTGGGGCAGGATTGCACTTGGTGCTGGGGTTTATGGAGTTTGCCTCTTTGTCTGGGCTGCTGCTGACAGGACCATTGTCCCCCAGGACTGGCAGTTGGATGATCAGATTGCTGGATGCACCGGATATGTGGAACAGCTTCAGCGCACGGACCAGCTGTAGTGAACTGAGCGGTGTTCGACTGCGTGGCAATGGAGAGAAACACACCAGTGGCAACTGGAGGTGTTTTTAACTTGGCTGTGTGGAACCAACCAAGCTCAGGAGTGGTGATTGCAAAGGCAACAGAGGCAATTGAGATGGTCCAGCTTAAGCCTTGATAGCCACCTGGAATGGGAGAGCAGCTATGGCTTCAGATCGGACTGCGCCTGAATGGCCTGCACACAATGGATCCCAGAACTCTCCTTGGTATACGGAAGAGCTAAAGAGGGATAAGAGACATCGAGGTTGCCACTGGCAAGCAACAAAGAACAAAGATGATTGAACATGAGCGAGAGCTGCAATTAGTGCCTACCCTGTGGCAATAAGGATGGCAAAACAATTATTTCTCTGCCCTTATCGCCTCTGCAGATAGCACGACAGCAGCCCTGTTTCCTGTAACCAAGACCCTCCTTGGAAGGAGTCATGCTGAGGTTTATTTCCAGAGACATTGTGAGGAATACACTGATTACCTAGTAGATAAAGTTGCTTGGATTCGCTCTCCATTGAACTCCAGCTTTGGTGTAGGGCCAGTGGAGGTTAGGGGGATGGGTCTTGCATAGTTATCTGGGAGGAGTTCAAGCCTGACGAACTTGAGGAAGAGGACAGGGTTCTTGCTGCTATCAGTTCGGCCACCTCTGTGTTAGATCGGGGCCTCTCCTGGATAGTCAAGACTACCTGGGAGAAGATGTGTGATTGAGCCTGGGCAATGGTTACAGGTAGTCCTCAACTTACAATCATTCATTTTTCATTTAGTGACCATTCAAAGTTACAATGCACTGATAAAAGTGACTTAGGACCTCTCCTCTTATTTAATATCTTCATGAGGTCGCTGGGTGACGTGATCCGACAGTTTGGAGTGAGTTATTAGCTGGCTTTATTGGCGCCTTTGGATTATAATATCTCTTTGTTTCTCTTTGTATTTAATTTTAATTTAATTTATTTTTTTTCTTTTTATATTGTGTTTTAACTGGTGAACTGTTTCTGTGATGGTTCACTAGCCATAGTCACCTATTTGAGATAAATTGAATAAATAAATAAAATAATACTTTATAATTAGAACTAGACCATGTTGCACAATTAAAGTAGAGTTCCTCAGTTATTATTTGGAGATCTGCCTATCTAGGTCTTCTGCTCTGCTTTCAGTTCCCCCAGTTTTCCATCTGCTGGAGCAAGTAATACTCTTATCTTATCCTTCAACAGCTGTCGGTGTCTTTTTTTTCCAGTGTGGGCTGGCAGAAACTGCAGCGGAATGTCTGTCAGGGCTGTTTTTAAAAACTTACACTGTGATATGATCTCTGGGTTCTATCCAAGCATTTTTTTTTAACAATAAGTAGTTAAGCTAAATACGTTTTGCTTAGTCAAAACCAGAAGAAAACCAGCTTCACTGAATCTTATTCTCAAACCTGCCTGCCTGTATACAAAAGGTTACAGCTTTTATAGAAACTGTAGTGTTGCAACAATATGCAAACTTAACGAACTACTTTTTAAGTTTCCTGCTATTAAAACAAATTGAGGGAAAGGAGGAGCTGCATAATTTTGCCTAAAATTAAGATTGCTCTTGATTGGGATTGCTCATGAATTGCATAATAATTTTAACACATTTATATACCTGCCCAACTTCCAGCAGCTCTGGGCTGTTTAACAAATATTTGTTAAAATATTTAAAAAAGCAAAGAACAATAAAGAAAACATATAAACAACACAAGACAAAGGGGCAACAGTGGTAGAGAGAAACAGAAAGGAAGAAAGGGGTATCAATTGTATTCTTCAAAGAGCCAGGACTTTAAGGCCTTTCAAAATCCCAGTAGGGTGGAAGTCATTTGAATTCCGGGCAACCTCATTCCAAAGGAGGGCAGGCGCAGCAGAGTAAATGCACTTAACTTTATCATTATTATTATTATTATATTCAGTAGATGCCATTGCTTAATTGATGGAAACTGAAGCATGCCAACCCTGCCAGATTGAACCTGTTGGGCTGATACTACAGGAACTAAAGTACGGGTATCTGTTAAAAAGAAACCTAACATCCCTTTCCTGTAATTTAGTGATTATATATTTTTTTATTAAACAACATACTAGTAAAGTGACTATCTAATGGTCATATATGTCATCTTGGCATCTATTGGTAACAATTAGCTTTCCAAACTGCTTTCTGGGAATACCTGTTTAGAAATAGATTTAAATCTTTTCTGTGCTAATCTCCAATATTTCGGCTTATAAAGCTTACCAAGCCTGAGCCAATGTGTGTATTTGCCAACAGTAAAGTTAAAAAGAAGAATGTGATTTTCAAAGGTGCTTATAGTAGGCATTTGTTGGATTTTTATTTTCATTTTGTAACAACTTTTGCTGATTCTCTCTTTTGCATATAGGTTTGGGGAAGATGTTGCTGTCCAGATCCAGCGGAAATGGTTTCTGTACCCTTCAGAGAACATACTGGTATGGAAAAAGAGTTATTCATTTGAAAGCATATTTTCAGTGAAGAGAAACTTTTAATTCTGAACAATACATCCAAATTCAGAATTCCTGCTATCCATAATTCTGTCAAAGTGGATGCAAAAAGCTGCTGTCCAGAACACTTTGTCAGCTGGAATCTCAAAAATGGTGGCAATAATTGAAGTTACTATCAGAGATGCTTTTTATTAACGCTGTCTTGATGAAGTTAGGAGGGTAAAACGTTTGGGTTCAGCTAAGGAGAAGAATGATGAGGTAACCTTATTATTCATTATGTCATTATATTAAGATCACTCATAAGATATTGGAATATCATTGTTGACCATTTTCCCTTTAGATTTATTTTTAGACGGTGAACTTATTTCTATGTTACTGTTATCTTATAGGATTTTTAAAAAGGCAGTAAAGTTCAAAGGTCTTCATTTTAGACTGTTGATACTGTTAAAAAAAAGTCTAAATTACCCAAATTCTAATTTCAGGCAAGATTAAATCTGTTGATTAAATAACAGAAGTCTTGCAAGAGCTTTTCTTAGTCCAGTGATGGAGAACCTTTTAGAGACTGAGTGCCCAAAAACCGCCCAACCGCCCGCACTCTGCCTCCTGCCTTGCCTGCTCCACCCCGCCTGCCCCCTGCTCCGCCCACCCGCAGGGCCACGCACCGCCTCCATGGCCCGCCGCAGATCGCCCAGGCAGCCCTGCAGCACCATGGCAGCCACAGCCTTTGCCCATACCCCACAGCATCATCTGCACGCTATGGGGCGCGAGGGTAGAGTCTTGTCCCTGCTGCCCAGCTGCCATGTCTTTGGCTGCGCTGCTCCGTGCGGGCCATGCCCCAGGGAGACTCTCCTCCAGGGGGGCTGCTGGTGAGGAGGGGGCCGCGGGGGAGGCCGGGCTGGGGCGACGGCGCACATGCTCACAGAGAGGGCTCCGAGTGCCGCCTCTGGCACGCGTGCCATAGGTTCGCCACCACTGTCTTAGTCTATCAACTTCTTCCTGTTTCAGACCTGTCCCAAGTCCATCCTGCCATTTTTTCCCTCTCAAATGGTGTTACAGATTATTAATAAAAGTTTTACAATTTAATAAAAACGAAGCCAGACACTTTAACCCAACTTACCTAATTAAGGGTTTTTAAGGGTAATTTTAAGGGTAATTTTAACGACTAGGCCTTTACAAATATTTTCTTTTAATCTGGTTTTAATATTGATATTTGTTGTAATGTTTTTTTATAAGGTTGTTAGCCGCCCTGAGTCCGGTGAGGAGAAGGGCGGGATACAAATCAAATTATAAATAAAAATAAATATAAAAATAAATAATAACATTTCAGTCTGTTTGCCTTGGCTCCTTGCCCTGATATATATAGGCCTCTAATCTTATCTATAAATGCTTCCTTTCCCTTTTAGCAGGGCTTCTGCCTCTACAGTTCCAGACCAAGGATACAAACTTAGAGATCCTTTTTATTACTCATTCAATTTCACCTTGAGTGGAGGCACAAGTTAATCAGTAATGTTTGAGATTTCTGGAAAGTAGATATCTGACTCCTATTGCTCTTGATTGCAAGGGTCATGTTCAGAGGTTTAGGCTCTTCTACAAAAATTAAGCAATCCAAGTGTAGCAGGCAAAGAGTTTCATTTTTTAAAAAAAAAAATTGATGGTGTATTGCTGGAATTTATGCATACTAAAATAGAGCCTGCAGTGGCATGTTAAACTTCCTGAAAAATTTGATCCATGTGCTCTGATTATATTACAATCCTGGAGACCAAATTCATTCTGGCTTTAAAGGCCCAAATGGTTTTGGTTTTGGTTTTAAGAAAAGGAACAATTCATCTGAAAAGTTTGCTTGCCTCTGCTTTTAGGGAAATATTTTTCCTTTTTCTAACAATAACCCGGAACGTGCTTTCCTGTTGACTTTATTTTGAAAGTTTCAGAAGCTTGCTACATGTGAACGCAGGCTGCCCTCAGAAACAAAGCCGAATTCTGCCAAGCCAAGAGAAGACTAGCCAAGGACGAACTCTTGCGTTAGAGATCTGGCAAACTGCCCTCTAGCTTGCATGTTCACACTTTTCTCTCGGAAAATAGGAAACCGCCCTTTTGTTTAAGAAAATTTATTTGAAAGTAGGTTAGGGGGTTTCTTAGGTTTCGTTGCTTGGAGACCAGAAAAAAAAAATCCCTTTGCTTCCTGGCAGCCTCCTTTAATACTTTCTCCCCCTCCTCCTTCCAGTAATGGATTTCTACAGTTTCCTTTGCCGTTGCCTTTCTGTGTTGCAACACAGGCTTTGTCCGTGTGGAGCATGATTCAGCACATTCAAAAAGGTCATAGTTGTGACCCAGCACATTTAAACGACACTGGGACACCTCTTCTTAAATTGCTGCTTGCAGAATAGAGTATGTGCTTTCTAGGATCAGAAAGGACTCAACCATGGTGAGCAAAACCTAGTGCCAACCGTCTCATCGGCATGCACAGCAAAAGAAACTCCTGGGACATTTTTTTATTATCAAGAGTAAAACTTTACTGATAGATCCATACAGGCACAGGGGAAAAAAAGCTAATTCTGAGATTTGGGGGCGAAGCGCAGTATAATAAAACTCCCTTTTCCTTCCCCCAAGCTGCCCAACGTCCATTGTCCACCAATCCAGGTCAAGCATTTTATTTTGGGAAAACAGTCTACACCAGTGGTGGCGAATCTATGGCACGGGTGCCAGAGGCGGCACTCAGAGCCCTCTCTGTGGGCACGCGCGCCGTCGCCCGAGTCCTGGGCCTTCAGCTGGGTTTTGTAAAACCTTTTTGCTTTAGGCCTCCGCTGCTGTGTGCAAAAAAAAAAGAAGGTTCAATCAATCAATCAATTTCAACTTCTCGCGGGAAAAAAAAAAGATCTCGCAAAGTTGGAATTGATTGATTGACCTTTTTAGTCCCACCCAGTCTGCCGTTACCACCACAGCCACGCCCACCCAATGGGCCACCCCCACCCAATGGGCCACGCCCACCCAGCACCCGACAATGCATAAGTGGGTTTTGGGTTGCAGTTTGGGCACTCAGTCTCTAAAAGGTTCGCCATCACTGGTCTACACCTTTCGAAAATCTTCAGCTCACGACCTTGGGGTTGTAAGATTTTCTACAGCTGAAAACAGCTCACGTGAATTCCTTTTTTCTTTCCCAGCTTCCCACACATTCCAATCATATCCCTCCCCCCTCCCGTGTTTCTATCTCAAGCTGCCAGCAGAAAGAGGTGTTTTGCGAGTCAGCCTTGACACCCAATTTGAAAACCATTTGTCATTACCATCCATGAAGAACTGAGGGGTAAAATAGCTTTGGCAGGCTGATGAGAATTCTGCCGGGGTAACCTGAAGCTCTTCAGACCATAGAGCAGCCCTGCTAGAAGGGATCAAGCAAGCATCCGTCTGGTTTGGCCTGCTACTTTTGTGGGTCACAATCGTTTAGTTCCAGAAACTGTGCAAACTGGGTAGCAGTTCAGCAGAACAGCTGATCCATGTTCCTTGTCCCTAATGTTCAGAGATACAGATTCTAGCTTCTTATTAGGTTATCTTCCAAAATATGTCTCTTTTCCTCCCTCTCTTTTTAGAGATCTCTTAATAGATATCATATTGTCTTTCTTTGGGAAACTACGGCATGTCACTGATCTTTCATTAAGAAAGCTTAACTTGTGTGTGGTGTTTCTGGGTGTGCATGTCTTCTTAAAATACTGTATTTTGGCCCCTTTTTTCCCCTTACAGGTTAAGAGAGATGACTTGGAGAAACTGTCCTCCCACTTATTGGGTGCGGCTCCCCTTCTGTGCCCACAGCACTTGGAACAGTGCTGGCAGCAGGAGGCGCAGGCTCATGGTAGCGGCAGGGGCAGGCCTGGGTGTGTGCAGCATCTTGGCTTATGGAAACCGCCATTGGCAGGTGAGGGAGTGAAAGATGGCACAGCATGTCACCCAGGAATGGAATGAAACGTGGAAGGCTTGAGGCTGCTGTGAGAGGGAGGTGTTGAAGCTCTGCTTCAGTTGAGAGTTCCTAAATGCTTTCTGGTTTAAGAAAATGGGGATTGTTTAAGGCTGAAGGGCCCGATAGGTATGTCCCAGACTCCCAGGCCACGTGCAGTAACTGTTACGCCTTTTGTGACTCCAGAATGAATGGAGTCAAATATTTGCCTCTCTCCCGCCTTTTTTTACCTTGAGGCAGATGTCAGAGACAGCTATTTTACTGCTTAAAACTCGTGAAATTGCACCCCCATATAGGCCCTGGCATCCCCTATTTTTGGAGTATGGCCTGGACATTTCAGATCATGTGTGGTAGGGCTTTGGAGTTGAGAGAAATATCTCTAGGTACTGTCAGTGAAGATTCTGAGTCATCCAGATAGAATTATTTGGAAGTAGAGTTATGGCAGCTGGACTACGTTTAGCTGTCCATCCAACCAGCTTCTTCAGTCTGAGCAATTTGGTCAGGGGAATCTGAGTAGGCAGAGAGTTGTTGGAATCCAAATCCCCGTGTACTGCTCCTTTCCTGACTGCCTTTTTTGATTTTCTCGCAGGCAGCCACAGCGGAGTCCCCAACGGCCACACCTGCCGCCTCACTCCCTCGCTTCACTCGAGAAGAGGTGGCCCGCCATCATAACGAAGCAAATAGGGTGTGGGTGACTTATGGCAGTGAAGTTTTTGATGTCACCGATTTCTTAGAGCTTCACCCTGGGGGCAAAAGTAAGATTCTTCTGGCAGCAGGTGGGGCTTTGGAGCCCTTTTGGGCTCTCTATGCTATGCATAAACAAGATCATGTCCAAGAAATCCTTCGGGAATATAAAGTAGGAGAGCTGAGCCCAGAAGAGCCTCCTCTGCCAAGCCCAGATGACCCTTACGCCAACGATCCTCCGCGCCACCCTGCCCTCCGAGTCAATACCCTCAAGCCCTTCAATGCAGAACCTCCTCCAGAGTTACTGGCAGAATATTTTTTGACCCCTAACCAGATCTTCTTCAAGCGCAACCATCTCCCAGTGCCACTTGTGGACCCTGAAGCCTACCGCCTATGTATTCAGAGTCCCTCTAGACAGACCCTGTCCTTCTCTTTGCAAGATCTGAAACAGAATTTTCCAAAATATGAGGTTACCTCTACCATACAGTGTGCTGGCAATCGCCGGGCAGAGATAAACGCCATCCAGAACACCAACAGACTCGGGTGGAACATTGGGGCCATTAGCAATGCCTGTTGGGGTGGTGCCCGGCTTCGGGATGTCCTAATGCAAGCTGGGTATCATCCAGGGGATGAGGGTCATGTCTCCTTTGAGGGCCTGGACAAGGATCATGGTGGCACTGTATACGGAGCCTCCATCCCTTTTCAGAAAGCTATGAGTCCAGATGGGGATGTTCTCTTGGCATATGAGATGAATGGGGAGGAGCTGCCTCGAGATCATGGCTTCCCTCTGAGAGTTATTGTGCCAGGAGTGGTGGGGGCTCGTAGTGTAAAATGGCTGGCTCGGATTACAGTGGGGCCAGAGGAAAGCAAGAGCCACTGGCAGCAAAAGGATTACAAAGGATTCTCTTCGTCCGTAACCTGGGAAACAGTGGATTTCTCCAAGGCACCTGCCATTCAAGAGATGCCCATCCAGTCTGCCATCACTGAGCCATCTTCTAAGACATCTGTCTCTCCTGGAGAGCTCACAGTGAAGGGCTATGCCTGGAGTGGTGGAGGGCAGAGGGTGATCCGTGTAGATGTCTCCCTGGACGGTGGGAAAAACTGGAAAGAAGCAACACTAACTGGTGAAGAGCAGCTGCTTGGCCAAGCTTGGGCTTGGAAGCTTTGGCAGCTGGATGCTTTTGTGCCTGCTGGAACCAAGGAGTTGAACATTGTCTGCAAGGCTGTGGACACCAGCTACAATGTGCAACCTGAGCGTGTGGAACCACTCTGGAACATTTTGGGAGTACTCAACAATGCTTGGCATCGGGTCCGTGTCCCCGTGAAAAAGGATTGAGAGGCCTGATTGGGCCTAGAAGCATTGAGGACTGCATCTTGGCGTCTCTATATTTTTCAGCTGCTGCAGGGACATTAGCCCCTGCCCCTTGGAAGAAGCCAAGAAGAAGGGCTGAGTCCTCGAACAGGGGTCTGGTGACTTCTGGGCTTCTTTCCTCGTTCCCTATGCAATTCCTGTGAATGTAGCATTTTGGAGCTAAGGCAGGGATGGGCAGCTATGGCCTTCTAAGGCCAGTGGACTTCAACTCCCACAAATCCTGAACCAGCCATGTATCACGCTGGTCTAAGATATTTATCTTCTTCTTCTAAGGGTGTGGTAGTCCCAGAAGTGTTGATGGATCTCCTTCACTTAACTTTCTATTTAACTTTCTATTTAACTGTTCAGGAATTTTGGATTTGGACTTTTTAAACTCTTTAAATTCTTTTAGTTGTCAAAAATTACCAACTTGTTTGCTGGCTGGAGATCTTTTTTAGGGTTCCCCTCTAAAGAGAAGAGATTTATTAACTGTGTTAGATCACTTGATGCTAAAGAACCCATCATTTTAGGAACATGAGCCATTTTATTATCTTGTTTTCTCTTTTCAGTGTGATGCCAACTTCGGCATTGCCATATTTAGTCCTTCAGCTACTTTATGGGAGAACGTGAGGAGTTGATATTTCTTCCATCGTAACACTGAGGAGTATTGGAAACTTAGCATTTTTCTCTAAAGACCCAGGAGCCTTGCCCCATATCATGTCTGCCGAATAGTTCTTGCTGCATGAATACACCACAGCAACACTTCCTGTAAGCTATTATTCTGGGCAGGTTTTGCGGTTGCCTAGAATCCATAATATTGGAGTAAGAAACCTGATATTCCCAACTGTTTTGATCTGTTCTTAAGAAACACAGACTTGCTTATGCCTGACTTAGTGGTTTCCCCTCTGTATTTCAAATGGTGGTATGTTGTAAGCTTTGTCAAGATGTCTTCATTAACTTTGCTGCAATAATTTTATTTATGTAGTAAACAAATTTAGACAGCTGTCCAACTCACACAGATGTGAGTTACAAGATTTTAAAAAATCCACCATATAGCAAAACCCATTCAACCTCACCCCCATGGCAGCAACAGCACAGTAAAATCAGCCATTTGATCAGCTCCATCTTCCATTCAGGGTCCCCAAGCCTGCTGACAAAATCATGTTTTTAGGGCTTTTTGGAAAAGCAGCAGGATGGGGACCACCCATACCTTTGGGGGAATAATGTTCCATAAAGAAGGGGCCACCAGTGAGAAGGCCCTTTTTTGTGGTCCCACCGGGTAACAATCCCTAATTGATTGGACCCCTAACATGCCCTGCCATCCTGTCCTGGTGGGCTGGGTGTAATTTCTTGGTTTTGTTAATGCAGATTCTTACTGCTGAAATAAGGGCTGTTTCTAATTCTTCATTCTTACCCTAGAATAGGTTGGTTGTTCGAGATGTAAAACTGAATAGGATTCTTGAACCATTGGCAGTCTGGGGGAGAAGAGTAGATTTCATCAGCTATTATCCTCACTAGAATTCTCTTCTATCTGGGGACCTACCCATGTTCCTTATTTATAGAGAACGGCCCGGACATGCACTTTAAGAAACATTTTAAATTAACTCTCCTGAGCCAGCAGGTTTCATGAAGAGAATGGATTAAGATGAGAGACTGCCACATAGGGGGATCCTGTTTTATGAAAACAGCCAGGCGTGCAGGGGGCCTTTGGGTAGAAAAAGTTAACACTTTCTTTGCCTAGCCTGAGCTTCACAGAGGGGTTCATATTGCCACATGAGCCACTGATCCTGGTGGTAGCAAATATTTAATTTTTGTTCCAGGCCATGCTGGGATCAATTTTTGTACAAAGAAATCTCTGCCATCTTGAGCATGTTGTCACCTTTCTTGATACAGGTAGTCCTCGACTTACAACCATTGATTTAATGATAGTTTGAAGTTACAATGGCACTAAAAAAGTGACTTATGACCGTTTTTCATACTTCCAACCATTACAGCATCCCCATGGTCATGTGATCAAAATTCAGGTGCTTGGCAACTGATTTCTTATTTATGACAGCTGCAGTGTCACGCGATCACCCTTTGCCACCTTCTGACAAGCAAAGTCAGTGGGGAAGCCAGATTCACTTGACCGTGTTACTAACTTAACAACTGCCGTGATTTGCTTAACAACTGTGGCAAGAAAGGTTGTAAAACGGGACAAAAGCCACTTAACTACAGACTTGCTTAACAACAGAAACTTTAGGCTCGGTTTTGGTCGTAAGGCGAGGACTACCTGTACTCATGATATGTCACAAACAACAGCATAGATTAGACCCTGTTCAAATTCAGAATTGAATTGTTTAAGATTCTAAAGCTGTAAAAAAAAAATGCCACCTAAAAAATAAGTGCCAGATTAGCTGCCCTGGGAGAACAGCCTATAGGTGGAATGCCACCACAGAGAAAATTGTTCCCTGCTTGTGACCCATTGATTTTTATTTGGTACTAGCATCTTTAGAAGAAGCGGTAGCCATGATTCTTGCATATAACCAGACTCTACACCTGTCCAAAATCCAAGGCTCAGTATCTCCGCATTGAGCACTGAAACTGTATCTAGAAAGGGAAAGAAAGCTGTGGAACTTCCTATAAGGTGCTAAACCATAGTTTTAACTATGAGCTAACAAACCATAAATGGTGCTGTATGACTCATAAAGCTATGAACCATATTTTATTACTGTCAGTGTCTCAGTTCATAAAACATTCTGGTTCAAACCCAAACCCACCACGCAATATCTCAAGGTGGCATTGGGCCGAGTTCCTTTTCGCTGCCCAGCATTGAATTTTTGTTACATTACTCTTTGTTTCCTTCCACTCAGGGCCGTTCTGCTTGAGAGCCCTAGATCAAAACAGCTGGGGGGGGCATCATGTTCGCCTGCAGGGGGTCCTGCAGAAGCTCTCCTGCAAGATTGCTTTGTTGCTCTGGGCATCAGCTCAAGCCGGCAGCTGGAATGATTCCTCCAGGTTGATTGATGAGCTTGTCTGCAGTTCCCCTGCATGTCAGCACAGCAGCACTGCTGTATCAATCCTCAACATGAAAGTTGCTGGTAGAAAAAGGGGTTTATGGAGGGAGAGCATTGCTGTGGATGTATTGTCCTCCCATCTTTGATAGGCTAAAGCAAAAAAAACCAGAATGAACAAGTATCAGATGAAAGTTTTCTTATAGCACTTTCCAAGCTCTGGAATTTTGGGTGTATGTGTGTGGGGGAAGCATTCATCCTCCCATAAAAAGAGATTTGTGTGCTTTTTTTTAACGCTTGGTTGTTTATTTTAAAGATACTATTTGCTGCCTCCTGTTGGAAGTAGTAGGAAATGATTTTATTTCGATTATTCTCTCTCTCTCTTGTTGGGGACTTGTAGAAATTCTAGGGCTAGATGGATCTTCCTCACTGCCACCATGCTAGAGCACTTTGTGAGGGGAAAACAATCAGGAATCGTTTTACTTTTGCTGAGCTAACTACATTTTGCAAGTCGTTCCCACAAATTCTCCTGTTTCGTTATACCTTGGATCCTAGGAACACCAGTGGTGAAGAATGGACCTTTCAGTAATTCAGCAACAGAAGCTAACTCCATGTTGGATGGTGTTGGACCATGATGAGACTCACTTTCATGCAAAAATTAACTGGTTGGAAATGGTGGAATGCAGAGCAGAACCTCAAGCGGTGCTGCATCGAGAAAGCTGGTTTGATAACGGCATTGTGATTCAAGCATTATTTTTGGAAAATCAGTACAAACATGTCTTGGATAAGAGCAACATACATGGAATCTCCCAAGTCAAAATTCTGAAATTTTGAAATGAGGAACTTGCAATATCTTTTCACCATTAATGGAGACCAACCCAAGTTAAGCCTTTCTGTTCTCTGGCTGAAGTCACTTTCTGAAAAAAGTGGAAGACTAATGTTAGAGGTTTTTGTTTTGTTTTAGTTTCTTTTGTTTTTAACTTCCTTGGTTGTGTTTATTACATGGCAAATAAGGTGGATGTGTGTGGGTTTAAGAGATTCCAGTGTGAAGATTGGGTTTCTCTCACTGTTGTCCTTCCTTTGGGATTGATCTGGAGAAATTCTCCAGATTGTTTTACAAAAACTAGACAATCAAAACCTGGACAATACATATATCGAGATACAAATTAATACATAACAGATGGATACATAACTGAAACAATATTTTTGCTATAATAATGTGATGACAGCCCAGAGTTCTCCTTTCTGAATTGAGTATAATGGAATGTGTGGACGACCTTGGGAGACGAAGGAAAAAGATGCTACATAAGAAACAACCAGACAAGAGAACGAGCTTAATGATCAGAGGAAGAAATTTAGGAAGAACCTGCCCTAATTGATCAGCCAGTTAAAAGTGACGGCAGGGAGTTTGTACCTTCAGACTTGCCAGATTCTTTAACGTAGCCTTACAATAAAGTAGAATTAGTTCATCTAGTCCTGTTTCTAGTCTGATTTATCTGGGAGGGCAGATACTTAAGAGCATGTACTCCTCCTTTATAAGCATCCTTGATCATAGCTAGGGGGAAAATTACAAGAAGCTGTTTCAGGACCTTAAAAAGAGTCCAAGGAAGAAGGGAACTGCCCTTTTATTTTCTCCTGCCCAATGCTAATTTTCTCAGTTCCATTGCCCTCTAGCCAATGGGGAAACCCCAGAATCAAACAGGTACAATGAAGAAGAGATTAAGGTGATGAAACAAAATGTCCGTTGTCTCAAAATGAATAAGTCATTTCTATAATGCTTAGGGCTATTCCCTCAAGTAGATGTTCTGTTGCCCAAGGAGATTTAGCTAATTAGCCATAAAGAACAAACAACAGTAGTGGGGATGACTAACTTAGTGCTCTTCGTGTGTTTCTGTTCTCAAAATCTCTTTAGCCTTGAGTGGTGATTGTAAGGACATCAGGTGGGCTATGAACTCTAACTATGGTAGAAGACTGTCCAGACTGCTGGCTGTG